AGACAGTCACAGCATCTGAGACAGCTACCCTGTATCAGAACCATGTCTTCCAACTATTTGGACTACCTGTCAAAGCTATTTCTGACAGAGGACCCTCATTTGCATCACGAATGTTCAAGGAGTTATGCACTAAATTAGGCATCAAACAGAACATCTCTAGCACATTTCACCCCCAAACTGATGGACAGTCAGAACGTGTCAACCAAGACTTGGAACTGTATCTTTGGATCTTTTGCAATCACCAAGCAACAGACTGGACACATCACCTGCCGCTAGCGGAATTTGCGCATAACAATAGATATCATGATGCAATCAAGACGTCTCTCTTCCAGGTGCTCATGGGTTACCAACCTTGGCACAATATTCCCACTGTGGGAACAACTGATGCTCCTGATATTGCTTCAAGACTTACCCAGTTAGCACACCTTTGCACGGAAATTCAATCCAGTATCCGACTAGCAGAGGAGACAATCAAGAAATGCAACAAGGAGAAGTTCGTTGAATACAAACCCGGACAAAGGGTATGGCTGGAAGCCACTAACCTCAAAGGACTCCACCCAAAGGCAAAACTTGGTCCAAAACGTTATGGTCCCTTCACCATTGATCAGAAACTGTCATTAGTTGTCTACCGCTTGAAACTACTGCCCAAATGGAAGATTCACCCTGTGTTCCATACAGGGTTACTCTATCCTTATTCAGAAACAACAATGCATGAAAAGAACTACCTCCAACCTCCACCGGAACTAATCAAGAACCAGGAGGAGTTTGAAATTGAATGTATCATTGATTCAAAGACTGTTGGCAAGCGAACACTGTACCGGGTAAGATGGAAAGGATACCTGGCCTTGGATGATTCCTGGTTGCCAAATACCGAGCTTTCACATGCCAAAGATGCTTTGGCTGACTTCCTACAGCCAAATAAAGAATAACACTTTATAAGAGCTACCTTTTCTTACATCTGCAATGGCATCCACCACTGTCCTCGCCGCACTCCTTCTCCTCACCTGGTTCTTCCTCACCGTCCTCATCCTTGCCCTTACTCTCACATTCTTCCAGTTCAAAGAGACCTACAAGGTCAAAGTCATCCTCACCTGCTAGCCGATCACCCCCATCAC